ATAGATAGATAGATAGATAGATAGATAGATAGATAGATAGATAGATAAATTGAAGGCAGGGAGAGATGATATAGATAGAAGGATAGACGGATGGATAGATGAATAGGTGGGTAGATAGAATGAATATATACATATAGTATATCTATATCTATATCTATCTATCTATCTATCTATCTATCTATATATCTATCTATCTATATATATATATATATATATAGAGAGAGAGAGAGAGAGAGAGAGCATACAAAAAGAGAGGAGAAGAGAGAGAGGGGGGTATAATGAAATAATTTCACTCAATCCCTTTTTTGTCTTCTTGCAGGAGCTGGTGAGGACAGAAAACAAGAAAAAGGTAAGAAAATGAAACAGATGAGATATCAAAAGTTCCATGTGTCTTTGCTTGAGGATTGCTTTGCCCAAATCAAGGACATTTGGATGCTTGGTCCATGCAAAACCAAGCAGGCATAGTCTGAGTTGGGGGCTTATTTTTCTCTCTCTAAGTTCGTCTTGTGCTTCATACATTTTAATTTTCAGACATTTATGAACAGCTGGTGCCACCAAGATTCCTGGAAAGATTTACCAACAAGAAAGTGAGGAGAGGAGTCAGCATTACCCTTTCAGTGAAGGTGGAAGGTAAATAACCTCCAAAGCCATCTCATCCACTCCTTTTGACTACAGCAATCCTTGACTTATGACCACAATTGAGCCCAAACTTTTTCTTACTAAGTGAGACATTTCTTAAGTGACTTTTGCCTCATTTTACCATCTTTCTTTCCACGGTTATTCAGTGAATCACTGCTGTTGTTAAATTAATCATCTGCTTTTTAAATGAATTTGCTCATCAGAAAATCTCTAAAGGGGATCACGAGATCCCAGGACATTGCAATATGAATCAGTTGCCAAGCCTCTGAATTTTGATTATGTGACCATAGGGATGCTGCCATGGTCATAAGTGTGAAAATGGATCACAACTCACTTTTTTTCAGTGTCATTGTAACTTTGAATGGTCACTAAATGAAATGTTGTAAGTTGAGGATTATCTGTACTGCAGTCATTTTTCTCATCCTTATTATTTTGTCTGTATAAATCAACAATTTCTCCCCAAAAGTCTTTCCATAGTATCTTTGCCCCAAAACTTCACTGCTTTTTTTCCCCCTTTTCTTTTAGGGACTCCGTCACCCTCAGTAACGTGGTTAAAGGAAGAATCTCATGGTGAAGACATCCTCTGGATCAAATCGGATACTCCAGGTTATAAACTGGCCAGTTCCAATATGCAGCACAGTCTGATCTTATTGGATGTGGAAAAAACCTATAGTGGAAACTATACGTGTATTGTCTCCAATCAGGCTGGTCAGTCTATCTGTAGTGCTTCATTGGAAGTTTTGGATGGTAAGTCTCTCTGTCTCTGTCTGGCCTTCTATCTATTATCTACCATCTACTATCCATCCATCCATCATCTATATCTATCTATCTATCTATCTATCTATCTATCTATCTATCTATCTAT